CCCCCCCCCCCCCCCCCCCGCCGTCGCCAAAAAATTTTCGGTCAGTGTACCATTTTAGGGGTAAAAAATTTTTTCCTGAGTACAAAATTTTTCCGGACGAGTACGTTGCAATTGCTTTCGAGGGACTTTATCTCATTTTTTTATGGCAAAATTCCGTACTTAGCCCAAGAAAACAGATATCTTGTCCTTTGCGCGGAAATATTTAACACACAAAAAAGGCTGGGGCCCAACAAAAATTTTTCAGGGGCCCCCAGCAACTCGGGGCCCGGGGCAATTTGCCCCCTACCCTGCCCCCTCCCCCCTCTGGGCGGCCCTGGTTGTTGATTGTTTGATGCGGAATTTGCTCGGAAAGGGTCGATTAGATTTGCCCCGAGCTTGTTGTGCATTGTACTTGGTACGAGGAAAATTTCCCGATGTATTAGACTGCATTTTGCTTTTACCAGGTTTTTGCAAATTTTTACTAAGGCTCCGAGTAAGCTCGGAATGTTTAGCCGCCAGAGTGGTTAAATCCTCGCCAAAAAGCATTTTTCCCGCCTTTGGGAATTCTTGTTCGGCTAGTTGAACTTTATCTGGATTTATAGCTGCCAAAATTTTCTTACGACGGAGGGTCGTAGTGATACGGTTTGCTGAACCCAGCAAACAGAGCGATTGCTGTAAAGTTGTTCGTAAAACTTCGTTTGAAATCTTTTCGTTCGATTCAAGACGATCGTGTAAACAACACAAAGGTGCCGCGGCATTTAAAGTAGCTCGTTGAATGAGACCTAAATCTTTGTCCGGTTGTTCGATAAATTTCTTTCGGCTAGATGGGATATAGGTTAAAATACTTTTATCTAGCAAGGGAGCTACACAAGTATCCGTTTCTGGGGGAGAATATTCCCCAATAATCTCATTTACTTGCTCTGTATTGAGCCGCCGTCGAAAATTTTTCTCGAGAAATGTACCAAAGGCAGCTGAGGGAACCCAGCGACGTGCTGTTGTTTGTTCGGGATCGAAAAATCCCGTTGTTGACTTGACACTAGTCGGAGTTTCGCCAGTGTCTACGTTGTTTGCATCGACATTATCCAGGAGATTTCCATGAGTATTTTTCGACTGCACGTCAACTACCGGTGACATAAAGTCATCTAATGGTGGCACAAAGCCAACTAATGAGGTCTCATCAGGACCGTCTGTGTTGCTGCTCAAAATATCGTTCTCTTCTGCTTGTGTTGCTGTAATCGACAGGCGATCGTCTTCGACAGTGCTTTCCTCGACAAGATGAGGAACTTCGAGTGGTTGTTGAACGTGTTGGGATTCTATTTTCGTTACACGTTCTGATACCATTGATCATGAAATCTTGATTGAAAAGCTAAATATGTATGGGGTAAAACGGCATTCATTGGGGTTACTTGAATCATACATAACAAATCGGTCACAAAAATGCTTTATAAATGGTACATTATCTCATTCTAAACCGATTAAGTGTGGAATTCCTCAGGGATCGATTTTGGGGCCACTATTCTTTTTAGTGTATATCAACGATCTGCCTAATTGTTTAAAATACTGTACACCGAGGATGTTTGCAGATGATACGACGTTCACTGTGGCAGCGTTTACACTGTACCGTTTTCGTAGCGTTCTCGTATTGTTCGAGAGAACTAGATTATTGTCTTGCGTTCCCTTGAGGATTAAGAACAATACGAGAACGCTACGAAAACGGTACAGTGTAAACGCTGCCTGTGTGTGGCAAATCCACACATGAAATTTCGTCTGCTTTGAATCATGATTTAAATAATGTTAACGATTGGCTAATGGCTAATAAGCTTTGTTTGAACCTTAGCAAAACGGAATATATGCTAATAGGATCCAGACACAGCATCAATAA